ATTATAGTCTTATATCGAGTAATCAGATTTCTTGTAATAATAACAGAGACCAAGTCGATATTCCTCTTCTCATTATTAATCTTATATTTTGAAAATATCGAGATCTATAAAATTAAATAATATTAATACAATAAACAATATATTGATTAGGGATATATAAGGTTATATAAAGCTCAAATTCATTTTTGATTTCAAAAGATATTTATTCTTTTATAGATTCTAATTTCAAACTTCAAATTTCTACTTTCAACTATTAATATTAATAAGAAAACAAGAATTGAAATCTTATATAAATAATTATTAAAGGTTATAGGAGACTTTCGTTTTTATTACTATAACCATCTTGTGTAATTGCTTATTTATTTATTTATTTATTTATTTATTTATTTATTTATAGTGATTAACGTCTAATATCTAACCTCCCAAGGGGTATTCTAGATATACTAAGGAACGGGCCTACAGGCCACTAGCATTCCAGCCGCTCATAGTAGTGTAATGTTAGCTAATCAGGGACTTATTGCCTCTGGTATTCCCCCGCTCAGTACCACTTATAGCAATCCTATAGCTATTCTGTTTAAGGATTTATAATCCTATTTCAGAAAGTTTTGTTTTATATACCATCCGGGTGTCGGCGGATGATCAGGTCGATCGCTGTCGATCGGGAGAGCGTTTGGAGCGCTTATGGCTGTTCGGGTGCGGGTCTTAGGTTGATTGGGGTAGAAAATTCATTTTTGGGATATTGGAATAGATTGGAATTTGTATAGTTTTGTGTAGTTTGAATATATTTTAGTATAGAATCTAAATTTAGCGAAAAGATCAGTAAAGCTATATTATATTTGCAGAATGCAATTGATATATACTATTACATCCTATTCGAATCGAAATCGATTTGGTGTAAGCAGCCAGTCACCGCGCATCTGATTATTGATTGAATATTGAAAGAAGTGCAGTGGGCTTTTCTCAATCCTGTATATACAGATATTCGTGCTATTTTCATAATTAAATTTGATATAATAGACTGCAAAGTCACTGTGTCCGGTTCGTATCGCTATGAGTCTGTGTAGTACCCCGCGAGGGAGCTTGAGGCTTTCCGGCTGTGTAATTGCTTATAATATGTTATATCAAGATATTCTAATTGAATATAAAAGCTGAAAAAGATATTTTATCAATCATTTTGAGTTTACTCAAATCGGATCGAGATTTCGTATACCACCATCGATTAAGATATAAAGTCCATTAAACTTACTGAGAAGGAATTATTAGTAATATAGATTGAGATTCCATTGATAATATTATTTATATCCAATTAATCTCTCTTAATATATATAGTTATTAATAAAAAAGATTAAATATAAAAGTTTTTTTTTTTATATCAAAACAATCGAATCGATTATTCAATAGATTTATAAGCCTTATTTCCAGATAGTATATTTCTCTTATCGAGATATTAATTCTATCTTCTCTTTTTGAAGGGGCTCAAAGTTTTTTAAAGTTTGTTATCAGCTAGCCTTACCTTGGATAAAAGTGTCTGATGGATTTTGTACAATTGAGATTGTACTAATTGATTTAATTAAAGTTGAATACTTAATTAATTATCTATAGCAGTTTTAAGAAAACGCTCTGTAGCCAATCTCGTTCGAGTGCTTGTTAAATAATAAAAAGTGAATCAAATATGTGATTAATAATATTACACAAATAATTAAAATAATCCTGTTAATCTTGTATTAATGTTAATAAAAGAAAAGAACTATAAAATTCATAATCCTGAAAGCTAAATAGCTTTCCTGCAATCCACTACCATTAATTAAAAGCATTATTGATTTCAGCTCTAAATGTTTTAAGCAAAATAAATAATAATAAGCTAGTACTCAAAGTACTTGATATATCAATTATAATAGGAAAAGAGAACAAAACAAAGACAAAGACAAGAACAAAAATAAAGACAAAGATAAAGACAAAGGCGAAACGAATAGCATAAAAGGCATAAAAGATTGTGAAAACTATAAAAAGACCTACTTTAGATAGATGAAAACAGGAATAAAGAATTTCTTTTCAGAATCGAATTGCTCTTATTACAACGAGACTCTTTTGTAAAATAAAATATACTATCACAACGCAAGAGATAGATACTAGGTAAGATGTATGATATTCTACAAAGAAGTGAAGAAGGAGGCGGAGAGGCGCCGACTATATGAAGGGCGGATGCCTAAGGCATCCACATACTACGTATTGAACCCGTGACACGTACCTTGATATAAGTAATCAATAAAACACATTTTATTTATCAAATAATTTATTTTATATTTTTAAGTATTTAGTAAATCTTTATTTGAGATTATTTACTAAATAATTTAGATCTAATAATTGAAATAAATCGAAATAAATTGATCCGAATATACTCTAAAAAGGGAAGTACAATTTCATATCAAAAAGAGCGATTTTAATAATTTAATTAAAATTAAAATTATTGTTCAATTTAATTGAAATTGAAATATATAGTTTTCAAGTATAAACATTCTATATAGAATAAATTTTAAATTAAAATCATCAAAATTGAAGTCTTGGTAATAGAATATATAATCTTTTATTAAAAATTTTCATGGGAAAACGTACTATTGAATTTTTGAGCTTAAATTTCACTTTTTTGAAGCAATTTTCAAGAAAACTATTCTTTAATTCTTTAAAAACATATTGTATCAATTTGAATAAAATTCAATCGAAATTTGAATTTTAATTGAATTATTAAAGTCATTCTTTTTGGTATGAAATTGTGCTTTGCTGTCACGTTGTTCTGTGAGTCCGTGCACCCACTGGTGGTGTTAGTGAGGTTGATTTTGGAGTACACTTTGTGAATTTAGCCGGTCCGGCGCTTATCTACTTTTAAATTTAGCGTCGAATGGAAGCGGTAGAAGCGGAAGAAGCGAGGACATCAAAGCTTGGCGAGATTTTCCAAAGAAGCTACAGCACTGCTGCTATGTATCACTATTATTGTAACAATGTTATACATTACAACGATTTTGTAACCATTTGTATAAGTTACAAGTATGGTTGATTGCTCCGTGTCTTGAGACATTCGTCGCTGCTAAATTACCTCAATAGAATATCATGAACATGAAACCGTGCCAATACACATGATACATTTGATCATCAAAACATACTTTGTGGAGAAATGGGATGATCCAATCATGATCAAGTTTCAAAATAAAACATGAGCAAGACACCCTCTAAACTTTGATCCCTGATGCAAACTTTGACTTGACCTTAAACACTACCGAAGCATCTATTGGCCGTGGTAGCTTCATTGGCAACGATCCCTCAACATCCTTATATAATGCTGGTGTACGCATAAACAGGTTTTAATTGTGATAATCTCTATAGCAGTGAGTTCGAATCCAAGGCATACCAATGGTTGAATGTTATCGGGATCTTGAATCCAATCGTACAGATGCACGTGCACAAACGGTTTGACGATGAAAGGGATATCGAAGATCATAGGACGGAGTGAGGCAGCCACAACAAGACAACTTTCTTGAGAAGATTGCCTAAAATCAACCGAACAATACGATTTTGATCATCTCTCTTAAGGGTGCGTTCGGATCGATTTATTTCGACTTATTTCAATTATTAGATCTAAATTATTTAGTAAATAATCTCAAATAAAGGTTTACCGAATACTTAAGGTTATGAAATAAATTATTTGATAAATAAAATGTATTTTATTAAATATTTAGAGTTATCAAATAATTTCTAATAATTTCTAATAATTTATTTGATAAATATTTTTAAAATGATAAATGCTTTCAAGATCCTTATATATTAATTGTAAAATAGCTTTTTGAAGCTTTACGAACAAATCTTTATTATTATTATCTTTATCATTTTTCAATATTATTCAAATATAGTTCAACTATCAAAATATCATTCAAATATTTTAGCCTGAACATCTTTGTCATTTAATATTATTAGAAATTTCATAAAATAAATCGAAATCGATCCGAACGCACCCTAACTAGATCTTCCACGGGATAGGTATTTACAAGATACATGATCCAGCCCCCCTCTGATTACCTAATCCATACCCTCAACCTAAGCTAACCACGATTAGCGCCGGGGTCACGATAACACGAGTGGGGTTCTTAGATAGTGAAAGCTGATAGCTAACCGTACATCTTGTGGGGATGGAGTTATTTCAGCACTGAGCGATTCAGCTATTTGTGAATCGAATAAGAAAAAAAAAGAGGAATGTCTCATACTCCGAGCACACAGTCGTATCTTAAGTATACAATCTATATTCAGAACGGAAAGAACAAGACTAAAAACTAAAAACCAACACGGGATCATCGGCACAAGTAGCTACCTAGGGAGACGTTAGCGATGACTTCATCACGAGTGGAAATGGCATCAAAAAAATATCTCAGCCGGCTAAGAATAATCTTTCAAAAAATTCTCATAATATGGCTACCAGGGTAGTTATTTTAGATATACCTCCTAGTAGTCATGATTTTCTGGTTGAATTTGCAGTTGGTGTTACTTCTTGTATCGCAACATTTCGGTGGCCCCGAGTGTAGCCTATGAAGCCTATGGATCCATGCGGTCGGTCTTCACATGAGGCTGAGTTCGGTGTGCTTTCTTTTCCGCCACCATAATTTTTTTATCAGAAAATCAAGAAGCAATTATGGACTAGTAATGCATGTTAAAAAGTAGTTGAATTGATCAAGGGGAATCTGTTGTAAAAAGAGGGACGCCTAGTCCACTACACCCAATAACCAAATACCAAAAGAATTGTATCCAAACTCCTTAAGTCTCCTAACAAAACCAAATACCACCAGTCCCTAAATAATAATATATGCCACTCGCAATCGCTGACCAGGCTACCTAAGATATAACGCACCTCCGTACCCGTGAAATCGTAACGATATGTTCAAACCCTCAGCGCCAGAATGTGCAACCCAAACCCATCGATTTATATCAACGTCCACCACTGGTGTTTTGCACACAACCTATTGAGGGAACATTTGCTTGATTTCCTCATCGCTCAACCTGATTTCAAGAACAGGCTCGCGCTTTCGTTCGAGCGATTCGAAATCGGATTCCATATAGGAGGGGAAGAATATTTCTATCACAAACTATTAGCATATTAGAAAGGAGGACCATAGGGCTTTCTTTACCTGGATTCCAATCAAACCCTTGTGAAGAACGCACGCAAGTGATCTATAAATAATATTCGTAAGTAAACATTCAATCATAGCATTCTCACGCCGCAGTACAACGTACAAGTCGTGGTGTGCCATCAGGGTCCCCGATATTAATTGTAGTATGTTCTTCCTTTGCAAGTGCTGTGCCTGAAGTAGATATGTTAGTCATGTTCTCTGCTGATTGACATGAGAGTGATGATCCCGTCCGAAGATCCGTTATAATTCCACCAATTCACAACTCCTATCTTCCGGAAATGTGAGGTTCCAAGCACCAACGAGGAGAAACACTTACTCAAAAGACTTCTTCTCCTATCATATCCATATCGAGTATTTGGAGAAGTAGCAGCTGATGATGGAGATTGTTGTGATGTTGTAGGAGAGCTTGAATATGACGAGGAGCTACTTGGGCTTGCTGTAGCAGCAGCCTTATTGGAATTTCTAGTTGGAATCGTGATAGATGACGACATGGTTGGCAGCTGGACGAGCTGGACGTTGATAGATTTGGGTGATAATCAAAGAAAAGTCGAAAGTTTGTAAAAGGGATCTTTCTGGCCACACCGGTATTCAGTAACTACTTTCCAAAGTCGTTGTATATGCCTTGCTTTGAGTCGTATGAGAATGAAAGAGGTAAACGAGAGCCTGGAGATAGATTAATGTTAATATGAGTACCCCCCCGTATTTGGTGGAGTCACAGATGGGGCTAACTAGTTGAGAGCTAATCTAAAACAAGTATAGTACAGCAAGGTTCCCACCCGAGTGAGATATGCTGTGCGGCCTTGGATGTGAGGCATAATATAACATCACGTGAATGGTACGTTGATTAGCTAAGCATGATTCAAACACCGAGCCAGCCTTGAGCTTCAGCTAGGCTAACAACTACGCGCGCCTTCTAAGGACTTAAATTGAAAACGATTTAACAACAACATCATCATAACCATCTCCCACATCTCACCACTACCATACATCCGCATTCACATCAAACCGGCAGATCTTCAATATGGGTGACGTTTTATTAGAGAGCCCTGCGACTCAGGCTTTGCCCCATCGAAAACCATTACCATCCTCGATACCAAACATAGATTCGCTGGAGGGCTTAGGAACCGATGGAAGTGATGAATATTCAACGTTGAAGAAGCTTCAAAGGCACTTGGAGTTAGTATAGTCTTGGATACGTCCTCAGAAGTGAAATGCTAACTAAGTGTCACAGATATATCCAACTTCAAGAAGAATATATCAAGGATGAACAAAGGTATGCGATCTGAACTCTATCTGTTATTTATACAAGTACTAATCATGATCACTTTAACAGAAGCTTGAAGAGGGAGCTTGTCCGGGCTCAGGAAGAGATCAAACGTATTCAAAGTGTTCCTTTGGTGATAGGGCAATTCATGGAAGCTATTGATCAAAAGTACAACACACACTTGTTCATCTTTCCAGCAATTAGTGATACTAACACATTCAAAACAGTACTGGTATCGTACAATCATCAACAGGATCGAACTACGTTGTTCGAATTCTATCCACCCTCGATCGCGAACTTCTAAAACCATCCTCCTCTGTCGCTCTTCACAGGCACTCAAATTCGTTAGTCGATATCTTACCCCCCGAGGCCGATTCATCAATTGCCATGTTAGGTTCTGATGAGAAACCCGATGTTACATACGCAGACGTTGGAGGACTTGATATGCAAAAGCAAGAAATTCGAGAAGCCGTCGAACTTCCATTAACACATTTCGACTTATACAAGCAAATTGGTATCGATCCACCACGCGGTGTTTTACTATATGGCCCACCAGGAACAGGAAAGACTATGCTTGTCAAGGCAGTAGCAAATTCGACAACTGCAAACTTCATCCGTGTCGTTGGTTCCGAATTCGTACAAAAGTATCTTGGAGAAGGTCCACGTATGGTCCGTGATGTGTTCCGTATGGCTCGTGAGAACTCCCCAGCTATCATCTTCATTGATGAAATTGATGCCATCGCCACAAAGCGTTTCGATGCACAAACCGGAGCTGATAGAGAGGTTCAACGTATTCTTCTCGAGCTTTTGAACCAAATGGATGGTTTCGACCAAACTTCCAACGTTAAAGTCATTATGGCCACCAATCGTGCCGATACTCTCGACCCTGCTTTACTTCGTCCCGGTCGTCTGGATAGAAAGATTGAGTTCCCCAATCTTCGCGATCGCAGAGAGAGACGTTTGATTTTCACTACTATTGCGTCGAGAATGTCATTGTCACCTGAAGTCGATCTTGATAGTTTAATCATCAGAAACGATCCATTATCTGGTGCTATTATTGCAGCTATCATGCAAGAAGCTGGTTTGAGAGCAGTAAGGAAGAATAGATATAACATCATTCAATCTGATCTTGAAGATGCCTATTCTAGTCAAGTTAAGGGTGCACAAGAGGTATGTATAGAGCTGAATAATCCATCAACTCTTAAATTTTCATATCAACATATTCTAACATTTTCCAGGCCGATAAATTCGACTTCTACAAATAGAGGAATGATAACTGCGAAAAAGAAAGTGGGGAGAAGTGGCACGGGAGCGAGATGGAAAGTGGAAAATGCCTTGAAATGTGACATTTCTGAAAAGTATCAGATGCTTCATTCATGCTAGGCTTTTGCAATTGTACCAACATACCAAACATTACGTTGTAGTAATAATTTCTGCAATGAATGCAGGGAACTTTATACAAAACTGCATGAATCTATACCCTTTTGACATGAAAAATGGTTTGCTTCACTGGATGGTATATGAACGATTTTAATAGTTACTTGTGGAGTGAAATGTGATATGTCAATCAATCAAAAGCGTTGGTGTAATGACTTAATTTGTGGCATATCTGATTCGAATTTTGAGACATGCATTGTTACAAAATAGTAAGAAAAACACCAGTTATTCTTCAAGTGGAGACGAGGGTATTGAATGAAGAAACAGTCATCTTTACTCATGAACTGAAGACTAAATAACAGGTGAAATCTTTTACTCATGGAAGAGGTTCATTACTGAATCTTACTTGTCCAGATTCCTTTCCTTTGATACCTCAAGACTCTCACTTGGGAAGTGAAAATGGTGAGAGAGGGCGAGATACCTCGTTAATGTTGACGCTAGTTCCGACGTCTAAGTAGCTTAAGTCATAATTGATACTTAATAGGTAGATCCTAAAGATGTCATCATTCTTGCTGTTTAAATGGAAATGCATTCATTGTATTGATGAGGTATGAATCTCATCACCTTAATTCAACATGCCAAGCCTCTCCAAAATGACTCAAGACCAGCCAATTTACCTACAAACTTCTGTCTCAAGCTCCGTAGACTTCCCGCGTTATTGATATTTAAAGTTGTAGCCTCCGTTCCTAGGTTAGAATCTACTTTCGCACTTCCACCTTCCGCTGCGCGCAAACTCCTCGCTTGTTCGTTCCAAGTCCTGCGTTAGTCTTAGGGTCTTCATGAATCATGAACTGCTTGCTCAAGTTATCCACTGTGTGTTCTTCCAGGCAATATCTGAGCTAGCTATCCGGCGCCAAACTCGAGCGGGAATTGTCAATTTATATTCTCTTGACTTCAATAGAGTAGAATTCTCTAGTGAGTGAGTCGTAGAAGCTAAGTAGGCTTTTCCTTTTAGATCGGCTACTACCAAGGTCCAACGACAAGTCTACATACATGATTTCGCGATCCACGTTTCGATGTTCATCACTTTCTCAAAGATGTATGGCGAGTATCATGTCAAGAAGAAGACTGAGAATTCCACCTATCTGTTTCAACAGTCTCTTTTCAGTACTTCGAATCCCCAGACTCAGTCCCACTCATTGAGAAGCCGATGGTCAAGGGTTTTGAACTATTCTTCTTTGTAAAATTACTCCTGCCGAATGTTTGTTTGTTCGTTCGTTACTTCGTTTCATTCTTCGCAATATTGAGAGCGGAATGGTGGATTGAGATATCCTCTCATACAATCGTAGTCATGTGGCAGATCAGATGAGAGCTACTTTTTCTTATGATATTGATAATCTGTTATAGCTACCTGTTTAAATGACTATTATCGGGTCTCAATATTACGAGTATATGCAGTACCAAACTGTTCGTTTCCAAATACCGCGTATGGTTCCTCGAAAGCAGGAGTTAATTATTTGTCTTGTGAGATACATTTTGAGCACGTGTTTTGAATAATATTTGTGCTCGATCCGGGGTGGTAACTGTTATTTCCTTCTCGCGTGATATTGCTGATTTTCGAATAGATGGGTGAAGACTGGTACGGGAAATGCAGGGGCTCGAATGTGCGGATTAGAGGAAGTGGCGCTGTTAATAGATGAGAGTGTAGCTGGTTTGGCGAAAGTTATAAGTTCAAGTTGATGCAAAAAGAAAAGGAGGTTTGTTGACGGTATATAGATTGATGGAGCTCCGAGGTATAAGACGTCGGGGAATTTTATGGAGCACATCGGCGGTGAGCTAGATTGGTAGGAATGGGAATTGAAGCAGGATTTCTACGGTGGCTAGTGGGAGTTTCCAAGTTGACGGTGTATACTACTTTACTACACGCTTGATCATAGAATCAAAGCCAGCATTCTCAACCAATAGTGAGTACAGTTATGCAATCGCTAGTTTCTTACTCAATAATAGCTTGATTGATTCTATGTATTTGCATTTTATATCATAGCCCACCCGTCCCATTCTGCTGGTCGATTGAATTTCAGCCCTAAACAATGAGAGTGCAAAAGAACTTGAGTGTATGAGCCACTGTCGCTGCCGCTTAGCCGCAGCTTTATGCTTAACCAGATCTTAGGTTTCTCAACTCAGATACCATCTCAAGTCTCAGATTTCGGTATTCATGAATTGAAATCACTGGTAAATGTCCTCATCTATTCCCTTAACATCCGCTTAGAGAATACACTTATTGCGTCTCAGCAAACATCAAAACTGATGGAGAACAATACATATGTCTTTGAGCCAAGGCCTAGGAGAATAGCAGACTTGGCAAGATCAGAGACGAATCCAATTCTGAACAGTCAGTTCAGATTCACACAAATAGAGCAACAGAGGTGATACAAAATGGGTAGCAAATGCAGAAGGTAATCGGAGCAGAAAGTTCGTATACAAGAATGATTTCACAACGTACCTATCGTACTCGAATTTCATATTTCCTTTCAAAGCCATAGCTATCGTTTACTAGCATCAAAAGCCTGGATTCCTTCGCCTTCGAATGGAAAGTCTTCGCAGACGATATCTGAGTCGCGCATATGTTTAACCGCGACTTGTACCCAGGTGAAGACTTTATCATGACGTGTAACACGATGAGAGTAGTTATATATCACCATGGTGAGACCGATTGCAGTCACGGGATTCAACCTCTGAGAAGATTGTCGTTTTGCGTGATCTAACCATGCGTCTCGATCTTCCGGTGGAATGTCCGCTTTCAGTAGTATCTTTGTATCTTGAGACCAAGGGAAAGTTCCAACGTCGGAAAGATATGGGTGCAAATATGGGGCTTTATCCTTGTGATAGGGCCTTTCTGGGTTATGTACTACGACAATGTCCTTTAAATTATCCCGGACTCTATTGCGCATGATCTTGAGTGCAGGCGCATAGGCTAGCAGGTGGAGACTGAAACTTGCAGATCTATCTACAAGGAAAGGATTGCTCAGTGCAATTTCAAATTTTGATTGCGCGCGTGCAATGTCAGAGAGAGTCTTCCTGATAAATGCAATATTCGAGGTTCCCAGTTTGCGGACGAGTTCCAAATTAGGCAAAAATTCTGTATTGACCCTCGGTGCATAGACATCTTTTCGAATACTTCTCAGCCTGAATTCGTCAAGTGGGCTTAAGCGCAGCATAACGGTTATGAGTCGTCCGAACGGCTCTCTGGTTTGAGGAAAGAACGGTAGTGGTAAAGCCATAGTAAAATAGGTTATCAAAGTAGGAATATATAAGCTCAATCGTCCAAATTCTGTATCCTAAAGTTGGCCAACCTCTTAGACGGCTGATTGGGAGTAATACTATATTTGAGAATGTTACGTCGACGTCAGACTCCAATCAATCAACTCGTGATTCAGCTATGAAACAATACAGTAGCCTTGTCCAGAAACATCTAGTATATGTAATTCTGATTTGGCAGCATATTTTGAACAGGAAACTCGGCTCGCTTGTATCTCATGCGTGAAAATTGATGCCAATTTATGTTTTTCCCAAAGTTTTCAACGATCAGTTGGGATCAAGTTGGCAAGATGTGGTTAGAATAAAGACAATCAAATACTCTCCATCACCCGAGACTAATTTAGACATAGATTTGACTTGATATATCCAGGTATTGGATATTGATTCTTATGAGAAGTGGGTGACATTATGCAGTGAGATTTCTCATGGGAAATATATCTTTCTAGCTGACTAATCGAGGTCGAATGTCCAGCCACAATCGAGCCACAAATTGATCTCATCACGGCAACATCGCACGAAAACAAGCTGATCTAGCTGATCCATTTTCACTTCCAACATGCACTCACTGCACATATTCCAATCTTTCACAAACATTCGACTCTACTCCGCCCCTCTAATTAACACCATGCTCCGGTGCTCCTCCCTGAGGACCCCAAATACTTCTCTCTTGCAACCATGCCAACTTTCCACTCTGCTTATCCACCTTCCCAAATATGAAGCTTTCAAATTCCGTATCTTCTCCATCAACTTGGATGGTTCCCTTCATATGCGCTGCCAGATTATCTCCATCGCGGAGGAATTGATCGCTATGTCCATCCGAGTTAGCTTTCCATAGCTCAATCTTTCTCTCCCTCCCTAAAGACTACCCGCTAAACTCAGGAGATGACTTACACGACAGGTTTGTACGCACTAATCTTCCCCCTCCACATCTCAATTCCCTTCACCCAATTCTCGACATCTGATTTCTGTCCGTTCATCACATGATAGAATGTAGGAAGAGCAGTAGCTTCTGCATACGTCTTTGCTTCAGCAGGTGGACCAAAAAGACTCTCTTCCATCGCGCGCTGGAAGCCTTCGATTGTGGATGTATATTCGGCCATTGTTTATTGAAATTGGAACTTCGGGATATCACTACAGTTTGGAAGTTTTGTGTGAATTTAACTTCTTTTTCTTTCTTCTCTATTTTTTAAAAAAATCATTAATGATTGCAAACGATGAGGAAGCTGATCTGCTTATGGTGTCAAATATCTTTGCTGCGCCGCACAGCTAATAGTTGGGCTGTCAAAGTGACGTCCGCAAGTGGATATGCATGATATGTGTATAGTGGGGGATGACGCTAGTCATGCTTATATCTTATGTGAGAAAGTAGCTCTTAGGATAGATCAGCGGTCTATAGTGTCTGTTGAATCAAGACGAAGTGGTATTCAGTTTATGACAACGATTTTCTTCTGACTGGGCATCTTCTTGCAGTTAGTATAATGACCAGGTTGTTTGAAGTCTCAATGTACTTGTTCTCAGTATATGCGATCCCACTCATTCTCCTCCCCTCCCCCCGCCTTCCCCTTCTTCCAATTCAAGTCCAAATCCACTACTTCTTTCTCCTAGCCCTCACAACCAACCTATTTATCATCCCAATTCAACCTCTCTTCTTGGAGCCTTTACCAAGTTTCCCTTCTACTCCCCTCAAAAAGAGGCAGATAATCACACCCAAACAATTTCTTCCTATTCCACCCCCATCCCTCCAATCCCCAGCTTCCCCAGCTTCCCCAGCTAGCATAATGAAACTCATAAGATTGCAAACTATATTTTCCCGTTATTACTATCCTCCAGTCTTCAGTCTTCAATCTTGATCTCTATCCTAATATTATGCTTTTCTATTCAAAAGATAACATACCCGAACCTCCACTATAATCAATACCAATCTCTCCTATACCATTTTCACATCACCAAAACATCACGACTGATAAATCCTCAAGAGCATCCAAACTTCGAACCCTCCTCGGAAAATCGCACACTACAAAATTAGATGCCCTACTTCCCATCTCTCATCTATCACAAATCCCAAAAGATATCAACACTAATCTCCAGCTCCAGCTCCACCTCTATCTCCATACTCTAACCCATAAATCCCAAAGCCAAATTTCCAACCCCAAACTAAAATATCCCAACTCAATATCCATCAACCACCACGATTCCTTCTAAGTCTTCCCTCCCTCCCCAAACTAGCACACATATAAAATCCTCATCCAAATCGTCATCCAAGTCCCCATCCACATCTTTATTCACATCCTCATTCCCATTTCGATCTCTATTCCCATCCCCATCCCCACCATCCAACCCACCCACCCACCATATCTTCCAGCCCACTTCACCCCCCCCCCCCCCACACTTCAACTCCCACACTTCAACTCCCACACTTCAACTCCCACACTTCAACTCCCACACTTCAACTCCTACACTTCAACTCCCACACTTCAACTCCCACACTTCAACTCCCACACTTCAACTCCCACACTTCAACTCCCCACCATAAACTCGCACCACAACACAACCACAATACCTACCTACCTACCTACCCCTTCTCCAGCTACCCCAACCCAGCTCTTTCCCTCTTCCCTCTTCCCTCTCACCAATAGCCATCCGAATCTGACATCCAAAAAACTCAACTCCTAACTCCCAGCTCCAAACTATCTCCTCGCTTAATATATCATAACTAGGTACTTAATACCTATTACAGACTATCTATCTAGCCTAAGTAATATCACTATCATCTGAGTATATTCAATCCAGCTGAATATATAGATATAGGTATACAAACATAAACATATTAACTTCATCCGTCATCAATCCACCAATCCATCAAAAGTTCTCCAAATACCAAGATCAATATCAAATAATCTCACTTATCACAATCCATCCATTCATCCATTCATCCATCCAATCCCTCACTACAAAAACAGAAAACAAAAACTTACACTCGATACCTACCTAATCTAACCTTACTAATAATCCAACTCTACTGTAACCACACACAACCCCCCCCCCCCCCCCCTCTCTCAAGTTACCAATCCACATATGATAAATCAGATAATGAAATATAATCTCCGACAAATCTCATTTCTTAATGTTTGATCACATCTCTTCACTCTTCACTTATCACTTTTCACCTTACAACCCAAGAAATTTCAAGATCGTTTACTCAAATTTAGATACCTACCTAGGTACATAAGTTTTCCCTCCCTTCTAATCTATTCTCGCTAATATCTATCCACACAATTTTGACTTCGAGGTCTGGATGTACTGTACCAACATAGACCATATAATTCATCATCACCCCTACATCTTCCCTTCAAATACTCTAATCACTATCCTCCTCCTCACTGTCCTCCTCATCCTCCTCCTCACTACTCTCCTCACTCTCCGCCTCTTTCAACCACTCAACAAACACTCCCGTCCTCTCCCTCACCTTCTTCATCTCCGCATCCCCACCCTCCTTCCCATCCCCTCCACTTTCTGCCTCCTCCCACCATCTCAAAATCGCCTCTTCAGTCATCACATCCCTCTCATACAATTTCTGGCAAAGACTCGCCATAACCGGCGCCCCGTTCTGTTTCCCCACCAATCCCTTCTGCAAACAAATGAGGAATTCCTTCATTCCCTCTTCATCCCTCTCAATTCCCACCGCGACCTCTTCCAAGAATTTCTGCGCCCCCGCTACACTCAATGCCTGCACCGTTGCTTCAACCGCTGTTTTCGTTCCGGCCGTTACAACTTCCGCTATGAATTTCGTAAAAGCCGCTGCGATTGCTCTGCGAATTTGATAATCATCCGCATCATTACTTAATCTCAACCCCATAAATTCCAATTTCGCACCATCAAAATCCCCATTTTCTCTCAATGTATCAAGAAGCCCTTGAACAGCATCATGATGAAAGGATTCTGAATTACCATGTCCATGTTCATCATCCGATAGCGAACCTGCGAAACTGGAGTGACGGGATCGAGTATCAACTTCACCGGCTGAAATTTCGGATGAGATGGTAGAGATGGATTCGCTAGAGATATTGAGATGTGCGGTTGAGTATATGAGACTAGAGTGAAAGGCACTAGATTCTTCATCTTCGAATTCTTCTTCATCGATGAATTCATATCCTTCTCCGCCTTCTCCAACGATCCTAGGGTCGTTGGGTGTATCGTCATCAGACTCAGAATCATCCTTTGCTCTCTGTCCCGTTGTAATGCGTGATCCTTTAGCGATTTCAATTCCATCAGCTATCCTCACACCAAATGAAAGAAGTGATCCTTCACTAATCTTGCACATTTGTCCAATCAAAACATTATTAGCAATTATAGTCTGCTCCACAGATGATCCATCACCAATGATAACATCATCCCAAATATAAGCGTTCTTAATCGTGACATTCTTCCCGATTCGACATCCTCTACCTATAGTACTATTGATGATCGTCGAACCATCTCCTATACTCGTGCCTGCTCCCAATACAGTTCTTCTACCAATCTTGCAGGTTCGAGCTAATATGACACCGTTTTCCTTGCAAAATGCACCTCGTTGGAATTTATATGTTTGTCCTGCGACTAAATTGCTATCTGGAACAAGAGGATATGTCCATCTTCCCAGAACATCCTTGGTTATAGCTTCATAAGCTTGTAGATTAAATGCTCGAGCTGCGTAATGATCTGTTACGATCTCTGTGTGAATAGTCTTTCCATTCAACTCATAATCTTTCAATACACCATGTAAGAAATGTCTTCTAGGAACCTCGTAGTCGAAAGATTCCGCCCATAATGCTAGTACATCCGGTGTACAAATATCGATACCACAATCAATAAAATCCGTTCGAATCTCTATCTCGGAATTTTGTGAAATTATGTCCGGATCGAGACTGAGATATTTATTCGATTGAAGAGGGTTCATCTCTTCATAATGAAGACATCGGTTCTT